ATTTGTTGAACACAATTGTCTCGGGGTAATAAACATGTTCTACAGCATTAAGCGCAATTCAAGTACAGTAGACTCCAGTGATTTGCCACTGCTGACCTGTTTCAATGCTTCCTATTCTTCGGTTTTCCACAGTTAGCCGCTTCGTGTAACTCAAGTTGTGAAAAGTCTAATACCTACGAAAATGATGCTCCGCACAAGTTGGTTTCATTGGGAAGAATTTTCTGAAAAATGTCCTGAAATGTCTCGTAGAAGCTGGCAGTCGTCCACAGGATGTTTCGATACATTGACTTAAATTTTCGAATGTAACGATCAGAACGCCTGACATTCTTATACTATTCTAAGCATATAATTACGGCTTCAAAAAAAAAATCCTTTTGAATCTAACTGCAAATGCTTAGCCCCGCGTCCATCCAGTTTTACATCCTGAGAGGACATTTTACCAATCAAGATTTTGAAGTCCAGTCTCTCTTGCTACATAACCCATAGATGGAGGACAAAAGATAGATTCATAATCTGTCCCAATGACATTTGTGCATCAAATGAACGCATCAGGTGACATCTGAACTCGGATTGATGACCGCTGTTACTGTATGCATATTTCGTCACATACTCTTTCTTCTCAGAATATGATTTTTAAACTATAGACTTTGATGAGATAATCAGTGTCTCTAAATTCTGGAACAGTTGTTTCACTAATTCACTTGTGCGTAATTTTCTTTGTTTGATCAACACGTTTTCTTTTAAAATTGCAGTTTTTCTTTTTTCATTAGTTTTCTTCTATGCCACGATTGATTGGATATGATTTGAATTCCGTTTTTAATTATTTAATTTCTGTTTTATTTTATTCCATATCTTTAAAAGATAAAAGTAGTTCTCTCTTAAATTTTCTTTCTCGTCATTAAATTTTGGTCTTAGTTTTTTCTTTCTTAACAGTTAAATTCATTCTTCACATCTTTGTCTTTCTTGTTAATTTTTTAATCTTTTTTTCCCTCAGAACTAGTAGAGACCATTTTCTTTTTTTTGTTGCATTTCTTTATTTTACTTTTATAACTTCTGATTTATTCTAGCACATCTAATTCACCCGATGTCACTACCACAAAAGTTATTTAAAAAAAGTAGAAAACCCCTTATGATTTTCTCCCCATTTTCTTTTACTTCCCTATAAAAATGCACATTTTCTATAATTATTAGAACTCAAAGTACGTAAGAAATTTGAAGTTGTTGAACTTTCACTTTCATTTTCGGTTGGAAAAACACGTGTTTCACATTGATGTTGGCTCAATAACTTTTCAGTACGAATAAAAATGATGGAGAAGATAATGACTATATAAGAAAGACAAAAACAACTACTTAGAATTCTGAAACGTCAGAAGCGTCCTTGGTTTCCAACTACGACCCACTCCCTTCATCATCAGTTTAGAATAAATGTACTTTCTTGGGAATGAGGGTGAAGTAAATAGACAGGGACACTTTCACTCGCGTTAAGGTAGGTATAAGAAAAAGTTTAAGTGTTATTCTATCGATTTTTTTTTTAAGTGTCAGAGGCTTGTATATATTTGTTTGTCCACCTATTTAGATAGATACGAAAGTATATATATATATATATATATATATATATATATATATATATATATATATATACAGTGTAAGGAAAAAAGTAGCGCACCATAAAAGTGTGGTTTGTTCTGCACAAAGCCTTCACCACTATAATCAAATCATATGTTCTGGTGTCTGGCTGTCGGTTCCTAGGAACTGAGCTGCTTCACCCTCATATATCGAATACGACAGGAGAGCCCACCATATATATATATATATATATATATATATATATATATATATATATATATATATATATATATATATATATTATATTGAAGAATAATTAAACACTTAAAATCCCATAGGTAATAATTTTTATTTCATGAGGCTCTAAAAAAGCAGTTTTCAATCTTCAAGACCTACAAACAAATAACGAATGTAATGGAAAAAAATATTCCCGGTTAAAAACAAGAGATATTGCTATCTTCTTTAGAGAGTGGTGGTGGTGGTGGGGGGTGCAGAGAGTGTTGACCTATTTTAGACATACTGACCTCAGTATGTCATAAAGTGTGAATCTGAAACAATCTCGTCTGTTTTTGTCAGCGGGCCAAACATTCAATTCCTACATATTTCATTCAACAAATTTTTTTGTAAATAATATTAAGAGAACATTTTTAAAGATTTCGAAATTAGCGAAAAAGTTTTCATAAGCTTTTTATATAATTAACCAAGAAATTTAAATTAAAATACTTATATTCAGAGAAACATATTTATATCTCGAGTATCTTAGATTTATTTATTAATATTTAGATATACACTAGGGGATTAATCCGGATTTACATTTACCTTAGATTAAAGTACATTCATATCCTGCTAAATCCTGCTAAATCTTAATAAATATATCTAAGACATAAAAGTTCAGGACTCTAGGCATTTAACCCTCATAAATATGTTTCCCTGTATTTAAATAATTAAGAATCATTTAATTCAAATCTCTTAAGTTTAACTTAAATATCTTGGTTAATTATACAAAAAAGCTTATACTAATTTACATTTAATTTTTAAAGATTTTTTTCGCTAATTTCGAAAAACCTTTTAAAAATGTCCTGAACCAGACACTTTTTTTAATATTATTTACAGAAATTGTTGAATGAAATACAGGGAATTAATCCCGATCTAACTTTTCCTGAGTACATATCCTGCGAAATATTTTCTTTCTGATTTGTTTGTAGGTCTTGATTAAGAGCTGTCGCTTTTTTAGAGCACTCATGAAATAAAAAATTATTACCTTTGGGATTTTAAGTGTTTGATATTCTTTAATTAATAATAATTTTGCTCTGTTCTTTGACATAGAGCTCTCCATATATATATATATATATATATATATATATATATATATATATTGTTATGGGGTCCTCCCTTTTTTCATATAAGTGTACCTGGACTGCTGCCGTTAAATATCCAGAGTTAGTCAGTCAGTGGGAGAGGATATACGGAGAGAGAGAGAGAATATACGAACGGAGATAGTGTGAGGTAACCTCTTGTAGAAGTCAGTTACCAGCACGTAGACTCCAAGGAAGTCCTACTTCGAGACTGTATATATCCATCTGTATTTGCTACTAACCGCGTTCCTGGACTTATTAACAGCATTACTCTTTGTATGATTGTGTAAATACATTTTATTTCTTATATTTAATTATTGCGTTTGTCATTCCTTGAAGACCGAATTCATCTCGGAATCCACAACACATATATATGTGTGTGTGTGTGTGTGTGTGTAATATATATATATATCTATATATTTTTAAAAATAATAACAAAAATACTAAAGAACTTTGGATTATTTACCTAACGAGTTCTTTCCTATTTTCTATATATTTTCACACACACACACACATATATATATTACATATAACTGTATATATAATTATATATGTACACTCAAGCACACACAGACACACACACACCCATATATATAGAGAGAGATAGATAGATAAACAGAAGCATCATGAGACTGTCGTAAAAAGTTATATTGTGAGACTATACTGATTTTACATGTAGTGGAATGTACTGTTTAACGTAGTAAATAGAAATAACGTGTTTGCACAATCCTCAAAGAAGGTGATTTGGGAATTCCTGTTTACATAATACTTACATAAATCTGTACATACATATCTACATACGTACGTATGGATTATTTAAATTTGTTATATTTATAAAGCTGGCCACTCGTATTCGAGGATAATCGTCTACTAGGGTGGCTAGCCAATCCCTATCGCAGACTCTCGCTCAGGCATATTTGTGTTTGTTCAAAACCCATAAAGACAACCTGTAGATTATACTGCAACTATACTGAGCAGACCTTAGTTACAGTTTCTGGGAGAGAGCGTGTTATCTAGAATGATCAACAGTCTGAACACAGCCAGCACACTCAAACCCTCGGTCACGATGACTTGTGACTTCATGCTAACACAGCTATCAAAGGCCCCAAGTCTTCCGTCTACACTATATATATATATATATATATATATATATATATATATATATTATGGTGACTATCAGTTTCAGGCCTTAATGTAAACTTCAGACCCAAACTTACCCTGAAGATATTCAAAAGAGTTTTTTGAAAACATGCTTGCCACGCTATTCTCTGAAAAATATTTTTTGTCTAGATTTGGTATCTCTCTGCACCGCATGGACAACAAAATGTTGGCCTGTTGTCTTCTTGGTAAATCGATGAATCTGATCATGTCAGTGTTTATTAGTTTCTCCGAATATAAAACTGGAATCATCAAACATTGTTAGAGAGACTTACAAAAAGAGCAAAGAGTTACCAGGGAAACAAGATATGCATATACAGATGAAATTAAAATTATAATATAGACAAACAAGCAACAAACATTTAATATATTTTTGTTTTTCTTTCATTCTTATCAATTCCTTTATTTTTCAAACATTTGTTATTTTCATAATTTTTGTTTTTTCATTATTTTTTGTCTTCAGGGTTTTGCTATTTTCTAAGCTTAGCTAAGTACGACAAAAGGCTAAAGAAAGCGAAACAAAAGAAAGACTGTGTTGCATCAATCATCCAAAGCGGATAAATTGTGCATGATTAGAAAAACAATATTCGAAATTCTGGCATTCATTTTGAGGATTTTGAGTTATGCCCCATTATTTCATTTCAATCTTTCTTTCTTTCTTTCTTTCTTTCTTTCTTTCTTTCTTTCTTTCTTTCTTTCTTTCCATTTTTTTTGTTTGAATTATGATCGCATAACTTTCTTTTTTTAAAAAAAACTGATTTTGGTTCAGTGTTGATATTAAAATACAAATAATGAAAATTGAAGAACATCGACATTGTGGTTGAAGGCCACTTGCGCCGGTGTTCGGTATTTCTAGAGATTTTGTTAGAGAGTTTTTGATAGCCAAATTTGTCTGGCAAAAAAAAAACTGCGGTCAAACGTTTAAGAAAAAGAATAATGTAGAGAAAGTGATAAAACCATTATGAATGAGAAATATTGAAGAATCGGGTCGAAGAATTGATGAGAAGGGCAAAGGGGATGAAAGAAAGAAAGAACTAAAGAAAGAAAAGAAGAATAAAGAACGATAGAAAAAAAGAAATGAAAGAAGTCAAGAAAGAAAAAAGAAGAAAAGAAAGAACGAAATAGAAAAACGAAATAAACGAACGAATGAACTAACGAAGGAAAGAAAGCAAGCAAGAAAGAAAGAACGGACGAACGAAAGAAAAAAGAGAAATAAACAACGAAAGAAAGAACGGAAGAATGAATAAACGAAAGAAAGAATGCTATCAAGAAAGAAAGAATAAAAGGAAAGAAGAAAGAAAAATGAAGAAAGAAAGAAACTGATCGAAGAAGAAATAATCTAAAAGGAGTTTAGAAGGAAGATGTACAGAAAAAATGAAATTAAGAAAGAAAGAAAAAAAGAAAGAATGAAAGAAAGAAAAAGTGAGAGAAGAAAGAAAATTGGAAAATAAAATAAAGGAAAGTGAAAATGTACAAAAAGACAGAAAAGAGTGAAATGTCAAAGTAACAGAGAAGAAAAACGAGAAAATTAACAAAAAAGGAAAAAAGAAAGAAAAAAGATAATAAGCGCAAAGAAATGGATTGATGAAAAAGTAAACGAAAATGAAAGAAACAATGGCATAATGTCTTAAATAAGGCGATGAATGAAATAAAAGAAATTAGGAAAAATAAAAAATAAAAAATCGAGAGAAAAGTTGAAAATGGAGGAAGTAGACAAAGAAACAGGGAAGGAAAAGAATAACAAAAAGAAAGGAAAAAGATAAAAAGGAAAAAGAGAAATAGAAAATGAAAAAGAAAAGAGAATAGAAAATGAAAATAGAAAAAAGGAAGATAAAAGCTAAAAAGACAAGAGAGACAATTGAATAAAAATTATACGATAAACCTACGCACAGAAGAGTAGAATATGATTAAATGATGAAGAAATAGAGGAGAATGTGTCCGGCGAGAAAAATAGCAAAGGAATGAATAAATAAATCTATGGAGAATTGAAAGAAACTGAATAACGAAAAAAAAAGAAAAAAAGAAGAATAAAAAATTGCTAAATTAAACGATAAATAAGATAAAAAAAAATAAAAAGTGAAATCGGAGCGAAGAAACTAAACGAAAACGAAAGAAAGCAATGTTAAGATTGAAAGAACCAATCGATAAAAAAGCCGATAGGTTTTTTTTTTCTTTTTTCACTTTGCAAAAAAGAAAAGAACAACAACAAAAATACACAGAAAGAACGAAATAAGATGAATAAGGAAAATAAAAGAAATAAATAGTGAAAAAAAAAGAATAGAAAAGAAATAAGGAATGGATGAATAAATAAAGAAAGAAAAGATGAATAACCGAAGGAAATAGTCTGCGAAAGAGAGAAAATATAATGACGTAATATGACAGGAAGAGTCATTCATTGAATTATAATTAAATGGGAATAGAAAATATGAGAGATGGTGAGAAGTATCAAAGTATCAATTAGAAAATTAAAAAGTAAATAAAAGTAAATAAAAGAAAGAAAATCAAAAAGTGTGTAAAAAATAAAATTACGATTTTGGCGTGAAGAACTTAAGAAAACAGAAGAAAGAAAGAAAGAAAGAATGAAAGAAAGATAGAGAAACAGAAAGAAAGAAGAAAAACAGAAAGAAACTAAGAAAGAAACAAAACAAAAATAAAAAGAGTGTAAACAAGAAAAAAGCAATTATGGGGAAAGATTAATGAGTAAATAGAATAAAGAAAAAGAAATAAAAAAACGAGATAAACGAAAATAGAAAGAAAGAACAAAAAGAAATAAGAACAGAAGAAAAGATAAAGAAAGAAAGAAAATTAAAAAGTGTTTAAAAAAGAAAAGAGCGATTATGGGGAGAAGAAATTATTATGCAAACAGAAGAAAGAAAGAAGGAAAGAAAAAAAGAAAATTTAAAACGAGTGTAAACAAGAAAAAAAGTGATTATGGATGAAGAAATAATAAATAAATAAAATAAAATAAATAAAGAAAGAAAGAAAGAAAGAAAATGAAATAATTGAAAATAGAAAGAAAGAACGGATGTAAGAAACGAAGGAAAAATAAATAAAGAAAGAAAGCAAAAAAAATGGGTATAAAAATGAAAGAGTAATATAAATAAAACAAACAAAATGATATCGGATGTTCTTGAAAAAGAAACGTAGAAAGTGTTGGAAGAGAAAGTCGGAACCTTATTTTGCTTTTTAACAAAGTCAGAACAAAAGTAGTTACGCTTCTCTTTTCCCGCCTTTTCTCTACCTTTCCAGTTGTTTTTCTGGCTGCAATATTCTCGCGACTTTACGTCACAGAAATCTCATTTCACTCATCTTGTGGCTTGTGGGATAATCGGTCTTTTCAAACAGGGGCTATGGATTAGGGCGGGCCCCTTCTCCCTGACCCGGTCCTCATCTTCAGCTTCCCCTCACTCCACAGTGTCCTTCCACACCCCCTCACCGCCCTGTCCTTTAATGCGTCGAACGCCAACAGGAATTTCTGCAATAAAATTTGACATAATGGATGAAAAATAAAAATAGAAAATAATAAAAAAAAATCATTGAAAAATAATAAAAGTAAATGGAAAGTAAGATGGGAGAATGTCTATTGTCCTTTTAGTTCTTGTGCTAGTAACGTTTTCCTTTGTTAATTTTTTTTTGTGTTTTTATTGGTGTCATTCAGTTGTTGTTGCTGTTGTTTTTCTATGAGATTTCTGTGGGTAAGGATGGCAGGAAGTCAGAAAAAGACTAAGAAAATGAAGAAATGGCAGAAGTGGTCTGTATTATCAAAAATATGGTTTATTTGCTTATTTTTTTCGATAACAGAAGGAACGAGTAAAGTTAAAACTTAAACAACTAAGAAGTTGTGAAATTTCTCATGTTCAAAACGAACACATGCGCGTGCTTGCACACAGACACACATAAATAATATTGCTGATGATAATATAACTGTCGAGCGAAATAAGCTACGACAGGCTATGTCTATCTGTCTGCTCATCTATAATTATTATTAATTTTATTTCACCCCGCCATATATATATATATATATATATATCCAGGTAACATAAGAACAAATGGAGTATAATTCCACTGTCCGTAAGAAAGTGATCAATACAGAGTAGAGTTAAATATTATTTATTATCGGAGATTAAAACAAAAACATGTTAAAAATCGCTACACAATAGCATAATTGTGTTTCAACACTATAAATGCGTCTCCTCGGTCGATGGTAAATTACTGGTGAATGAACGATTAATTTCAAAAGTAGACTATTTCCACTTTTTTGAAAAAAAATGAGAATACGACCCCACCTAAACATAAAAACAGAATTGAAATGAGGCTTGTGCGTTTACCGTGATTAACCAATCAAATATGAAACCTACGCTAAAATCTAAACCAACTTAAAAGAATTTATATAAGTCATGACATGAAGTTTTCTACATCCTAGACAATTTCGTTTGCGACTAATACAAATGATTACATTATTTCGTAAAATATAGAGAATTATGACATTCAACTTTCACAAGAAGTTAGGTGTGTGTGTGTGTGGGGGGGGGGCGAATAGTTAGGGCAGATAATCTAGCATAATGTTTACTAGCTATATACTCGGTCATCTTCCTACATAGAATTTTGTTGTTGATAATTAAAAGGCTTCTTTAAGAAACCGGTAAAAAAGAAGAATCATAAATTCAAAACTACTTTGGTAAATTAATATGAAACCATTAAGATAAGATTTTAATACTACAGACTAATCAGTATCAGTTAATAATACTAACTAGACATCTATACAACCATATAAGATGTTAATAATACTAATTAGACATCAATACAGAGCTATATTAAATCTAAATGAATTTTACACAGTAGAATAGCAAACTATAGTACACCTACCAATTAATACAATAGTAAACCGCAGTGCATCTACCAATTATTACTAAAAGAAAAAGTAGTATCAAATTCGAAGTTTAACCATATTGTAAGGTACAATTTATAGTTAGTTCACTTCTTGGTTTAATAAGGAGTCTTTATTAATAAATTTGATAATTTCTATTTTGTCATGTAAGCATAAGAAACAAGGTTCATTTAAAGATTTACACGTTCTAGCTTTTTTAATACTTTCCATTTTTCGAATTAATATATATATATATATATATATATATATATATATATATATATATTATTTGTGTGTGTGTGTGTGAAAAAATTCGGATAGAGTATATCTGTAAGAGAACAATATGAAGTGTCATTAAAGATAACTGAGAAATTACTATGATTAAACTTTTTTTTATTAATCTTTTCTTGTATTTTTACACGTGTTGTCATTTCTGGATATAAAGT